TGGGGGAACTGACCGAAGATGCTGTTTTGATGGACTTGACTGCAGCCTCAAACACCTTCTTCGGCAGCCGGAGGTTGGTGGTCCCGCTGTCCACAATGCTCTTGTCATAGTTGTACTGTAGGGGTGACAGGAGGTAACGTGGTGCATGAGACTCCAGCCCTGCTGCTCCCAGGTGAGCTCAGAGCCAAGTTTGGGAGGCTGCACCCTCTGCGATGTGCCATCTCCGTAGGCAGCTGTCTCAGCCAGGACTGAGCTCTGGTTCCAGTGTGATCCCCACGCCTCCAGCAAACACCCACTGCATCCAGGAGGGGCCCAAGCCTCAACTGCCTGTGGGTCAAAGCTCTCATGGATGCACCCACAGCTGGGGTGGCGGCAGGGCCTGCTGCAGGCTGTCTCAACTCCCCAGGGAGCAGCACGACAGCTCTGCGAGCATCTCGCTGGAGCATGTAGGAAGCGCTCCTGTGCGCTCAGGAGTGATTTCAGCCACGGTGCATTTGCTGGGTGTCTCATGTGGCCGGTATCAAAACTGCCCTAGAGTCTCTAGTACGAGCGCACGGTCAGTCCTGATCATGGGAAGCCCTGCCCCTCTTACGGGGCATCTCAACAGTGGACCCCGTTGTGATGGACAAAGAGGGGTTGCTTGCTAGCCTCCAAATTAAAGCTTGGGACCATGAGCAGGTTTCGCTTGCTCTGTGCTCCCAGGACTTGGCACCACCCAGCAGTGTCTGTCTGTGCAGCATTAGAAGACCCCATTTTCCAAAGCTTCCAGCGGCTGTTGGCAACTGCTAACAGGAACACGGTTTGCAAGAGGGAGTGTTCATGGAAGTGAGGGCCCTTCACAGATGTCCTTCTGGATGCTCGGGCAGCCCCAATGTCACCAACACAGGACAAGATGAGTCTGTGTGAGACACCCGACATGCCAAAGCAGAAGTGGAAGCAGCAAGAAAACATGAGATGGCTACGGAAAGTACGGCAAGGAGTGACACTAAGCTGTGAGTTAAACCCAAGGCTACTAAGCCAGGAAGCAGCAGGAATCCCTGGAATATCAGTGGGCAATATGGCTTATAATGCGTATTAGGGAGAGCCGCTCTTTCCCATCCGTCCCCAGAGGCAGACAGTACAGGGACAGGCAGCAGCATGGAGCTACCTCTGCTCGTGTTTGCAATGAAGCGGGAAGGCGAAGCAGCCTGTGCGCTGTGGCGGCTGGAGTCAGAAGCCTGCCTCTGTATCAAGGGCAGATGGGAGGCACACGTGCTACATTTAAATGCCTGCAGATCAGCAGGCTGGAAAACTGCCCCTTGGAGTCACTGCAGAGCTCCACGTTGCTAATACCAACATTTCACAGAGTTGGGAAACCTGGAGAGTTGCTGGAGGTAAAGGCCAAACGAGGTGATACAAGTGGCAAAAGGGCTGACTCGGGGAACTAGAGAGGTCCTCCATGAGCAGGGTAACGGACCCGTTCAACTGGGCTCGCAGAAGGACGGGAGTCTGTGGTGTAATTAAAGCCAGGCAGTGCAGGGTCACGGAAAGTGGGGCTTGTCTTTTTCAGCAAGATCACAGCCTGGCTGTGCTGATATAGTGACCGGGGAGCTCTCCAGGGCAAGGAGCACGGCATCCCCAGACGTGAAAACCTGCACTACATGGCATTTCCAGGGGATACAATAGCTGGAGGCCAGGCCAGCTGGGTTAGGGGGGGAGGAGTGGCTCACAAAGATGTCAGTGGGTTGCTTCTAGCAGGGCTCGGGGTCCAGCCTTGGCTCAGCACTAGTTAATGTTTTACTGGTGATAGTGGAGAGGAAGGCTGCGTCACTGTCCTGTTGTCCTCAGTCACTGGGTTATATGGTCACGATGCACCACACCGCACTGGAATCCGGCCCAAGTGCAGTGCTCCCGGGAGCTGAGACCAAGGCCCCGTCTGTGGGACAGCAGCCTGTGCCGTGGCTCAGAGAGCAGCCTGAGCACCCCCGCCCTTCCTCACCTCTTTGCAGTCCATCTTCAGGTCCTGCCCGTTGATCTCGACCTTGACAATGATGACCTCGTAGTACCACTCCTTCCTGATGGGAGTGTACCAGATGCTGCCGACATAGAGGGAATGGTCGATGCCGCCAATGATCTGCAGCAAGGAGAGGCGTGAGGTGTGCTCCCGGGCCGGCTTGGGCAAGTGGAGCGCAGGGCATCGGGGTGCTGCCTTGCACCATACAAACGTGACCTCTGGGGAGGCTGCACCAGCTCGCTGCGCATCTGGGCGCACGTGGAGTTCATTTCTGCCACCAACTGCTTCATTGTGCGTCAGACTGGGGGGAGGTGGGGCCCTGCTGACCAGCTGTCAGAGGCATCGCTTGTCCCTCCTTCCCGCTCCCAGCTTGTCCTGTTCCCACCCACCCCTCGCTGCCCAGGCTAGAAGCTCCCAGAGACCACGTGGAGGAGTGACACTAGCCGGGGGTGAGAGCCTCAAAGACACGGCCGCAGGTCCATGGGAAGCTCCTGTCCTGGCCTCCCACATTGGGCCATGCCCACAACTCCTCAGGGCTGCCCAGGGCCCAACGCGTTCCCCTCTGGGCCTCTCCACCCCTCTATTGCTGCCTGCCCTGGGGGCCTGCTCCGTCCTCTCAGAGGGCAGCCCAGAGCCTGCACACTCACCATGCTGCCACCAACTGATGCCAAGGCCTCGGACTCGTTGGGGGAGAAGCCTGCCCCACACAGCTGCAGGGAGAAGATGTTGGGGACCCGCGTGTGCTTCACCAGTGAGTCAAAGAAGGGCTCCAAGCTGTCATCAGGCTGGGGAGGAGAGAGCCAGAGCCGTGACTCTCTGACCATGCTCTGGAGCCCATAGGGATGGGAGGAGGCCAGGATGGCCCCTGTGGTGGGGGCTGGCACCCATGCTGAGCTGCAGGGAGCTGCTCAGGTGTCTGCCAGTGCTGTGGGGACAGGAGTCTGGTGGCATCCTCCCCTGCCAGCCACCCCTTTAGCCCCAGGGCCCCGCTCCACGCCGGGCACCCCTGCCAAGCGCACTGATAGCAGGACAAGAGGCTGCTCCTGGCAGCCCCAGGGTAGATGCAAAGGCAGCCTGCCAGGCAGAGCCAAGGCGAGAGGGGAGGCAGCAGGGCTCACCCGGGCGATCTCAGCATAGGCCAGCCCCAGGATCCCCTCCCAGTTGGAGCCGTTGATGAAGAACTTGTCCGACTTGGTGATGGCTGCAATGTTGGCTCGGACGGTGACTCTGGGGCCGTGGGGGATGGTGACCAGGTCGGTCCCGAGCTCCCCCTCCCACTTGCCCTGGGTATACGGCACGTAGACACCCTTCCGCAGGTCCCGGTACGTGCTGGACCTGGAACAGGGGCCAAAAAGCAAGATCCCTGAGATAAGCCCAGCAGGAGGGCAGGAAAGCATGGGAGCAGCAGGAGGCCTGGGAAGGCAGGTCTGACTACACACGTGCCAGGAAAACCAGGGGACATCCTGGGACAGGCTAGCAAACCCCTGTGTGTGTGTGAGAGACTGGCTAGCAAACCCACGTGTGCCTGTGCATGCATTCATGTGTATGTGTGAGACAAGCTAGAGAACTTACAGCAGAGGCTCTGTGAGTGTGCAGTTCTCAGTCTCTGCAGATCAGGGCTTGACTGCCCAGGCTGCCAGCTGACCTGCACGTGTGCCTGAAAGAGGGCACCCAGGGGCTCCCTGCTGTCGCGTCCCCAATGTCAGGATGCATGTGCTTCCTGCTGTAGCTGCGGGCATGCATGTGCATGTGTCACGTGTCCTATGTGGGTGTTCCAGCTCTCCCTGTGCCCTGCTCCCAACTGTACACCCAGCACGGTGACTTTGCTGCTACTGGCAGTGCCCAGGGTGCGGAGCCAGGCCCTGCCAGAGATCCAAGGGCCCATCAGGCTGGAACCCGGCCCGCTGGGACCCGGGGCTTGGGGCAGGCCCTGGGAGCACCGTGGGGGGGTAGCACACAAGCCCGGCCATTGTTCATTGTGCCCGGCAGCCGGCAGGCCAGACAGTGTCTCAATGTTCGGGGTGGCAGGGCAGCAGCCAGGGGCCCCCCCCCCTCAGAGCACAGAAAGGGGCCATTGAGTCCCCCCAGCACGGACACCGCATCACGGGGGCTGGACAGCACCTGACAGCGCCAGCCTGGAGTGGGGCCATCGCCGAGCTTGGCAGTGCCAGCCTTGTGACCCAGCCAACAGCGAGGGCAGCAGGTATCAGAGAGGGAGGGGGCACGGCCCCCTCTGGGAAGCTGAAGGAAGCCTTCCTGGGGCATCCCAGCACAAAGCATGTTGGGGGCCAGGGGTGTTGTGGGGCCAGTGTCAGAGCAGCAGAGCACCCGCACGTCTGAGGTCCTGGGGCAGCTCCCTTCGCTTGCAGCCCGTGCATCGGCTAGATGGATGCAGCCATGAGCACAGCAAGGGAGATCTGCAGAGGCTGGGGAGCACCGGGGGCACTGCTGGATGTGCACCTGGGCATCCAGCGCTGTCCCCAGGGGCTGGGACGCATCTCCTTGCCCACAGCTGACTGCTGCAGCGGCTCTCAGCTCCAAGGTAGAGAGCCAGGGCAGAGGCTCCACCCACCCCTTCTTGCCCCCTGCCTGCCCTGGCTGTCACCCATGGAGGCAGGACGCTGGCTGGGGTGTGCAGAGCCAGCACTGGCAGCCCTTCTGGGTTGCCCCACGGCGCACGCTGTACTCACAGCTGCCGCTGGTAGTACCTCTGCAGGAACGCGTGAGGTGCTGCCCCAACTGCAAAGTTGCTGCTGCCTGTGTCCACCAGGATGTTCAGCTGGAGACAGAGAGAGAGAGAGCGGGGAGACCATGTTACTCGGGAGCAAGAAGTGTGAGTCTGGAGCTGAGCTGGCTCGTGCAAGGGCTTTAGCCTTCCTTGTTGTGGGGTGTCGTGGCATGAGCATCCTCCTTACGGGGCCTCGCAGCTACTGCGGGAGGGCACTGGGCCCCTTGGGAGCCATGCAGCAGGGCAGGGATGCA